TAATAAAAACAACAACAAAAAAAAAAAAAAAAAAAAAAAAAACGCAAGCAAATTCATATTCACTTGCCAACACTCTCCTCTTAACTTCAACAACCCATTTTCTCTAAATGGCTTCCAGAAGAGAGGGGCACCGAGATAACACCGTTTGGCGGCCGGTGAACAAGGCTCCAAACCCAAGAGGTCTAAGCTATAGAGCTTCAAGCTCCAACTCTAGAGCTTCAAGCTCCACTCCTACTCACCGCCGCCGCCCGGTGTGTGAATTCTTTCAAAAGATGCTGTCCATGCCTCCATGGCAATTCCAAGATCAGCTATTCGAATCCCCTTGGATCCAACACCCAATATGTGCTCATACAGTCGTAGAGGTGCCAGAAGAATTCCGGGGTAAAATAAGAGGATGGTACAAGGCACTAACCATTCCAGAACTTTACACAATACCACTGTCCTATACTTGGTTTTTGCTAAACCAAGAAATCAACCTCACTCTCCAGGGATCCATCTGCCAGGAAAATTAGGTGTTAGTCCCACATTTCGAGAGGATCCACATCAACATCTTCTCGCAAAGACCGACAGAGAGAGATCTAGACCACCACATCTCCATCATGTCAGCACCATTGGAAAACCCAAATGAAGATTTGGGACTTGGGTGGGACATAGAGAGATTTGTAGATCTCAACATGGGAGAAGAGAGTGCTTCCCGCAGTGCTCAGCCAAACATCCCCTACAACATTTCGCTTAACATCCTCTTCTTCAACACTGAGGGCATCTCTCGCCCTAACTTCCTCCAACACTACATGCACCTACATTCTAGCGGACGCTTCCACCTCGTCATCATCACAAACACAAAAAAAGGAGGAAGCGAGGCCCAGTTCATAAGCCAAATCACGGGCTTTCCTAACACCAAGACCATTGCCCCCCTCCTAGCGGCATGGAAAGGGTGAGGGGCGGAATCTGATGCCTATGGAACGAAGCCGAAATCTCCTGTGAAGTAGTGGAAATTCCGCGGAATCAAGCCATCGCCCAACAAGCCCACATCTTTATCCGGCCGGCTCGCACCAGATGAAATTTAAAATGTAAACTCTCCATGAGCAATCTAAATGCCCCCATTGTATCAAAAGCCTAATTTTAGACGACTCTATCTGAATACTTGTCTGCATGAGTTAATATGTTTCAAAACTTTTTACATAGTCATGTACAAATACTCTCATTAGCTATAAGAGCATCTGTACAGGAGGGGCATTATTGTGGGTACTTGTATCAAGCTTAATACGTGGCAAGCCCTACAGGTGCCACATCACCAAAACCCCACCCACGTGGCAGACCAATAAGGCACCACGTCGGGTATGTCGTATGTTTGATACATGGCGAGCCCTATGGGCGCCATGTGCTAAGGCAACCAAAACTATATGCTTAGCCTAAGCGGGAGCATATATACAAGCCCAAATATATCTAGATATGAAGAGCCCTGCAACAGGCAGCACCATGGCCTCGCAGGGTCCATGGTCCTTCATACCTCGCTCCAAGACCAAACAACAATACAATCAGCCCCCAGTTCACTTGGACTTGGATTGATAAACACTGGCTCTCCTAAACATTGAAATAAGCCCGCGGTCCATGCTCCTACTCGGTTGCTTAGAAGCGAGCCCCTCTCGTAAACATTGAGATAAGCCCGCGGCCCAGCCTCTTACTTGGTTGCCTGGAAGCGAGCCCTTGGCTCTCCTAAACACTAAGGTAGGCCCTAGCCCATTCACCTGCTTGGATGCCTGGGTTGGGAATAGGAATCAGGCACTACTGCTTGGGATCATCAGAGGATACTGGACCGGCGGCTGAGGACATGGGATCGCCGAGATGGTTGTCTTCTTGCTAAGACAACTCCATCTCGACCAAGCTTGGAGAAGAGGCAACAATGACCTTACGTTCATGTCATCCGATGCGTATAAGAAACGTTACTTTCCACCTGCCATGAAAGTTACTTTCTGCCTGCCATGAAACGTTGCTCTCCGCCTACCGGCAAGCCACAGACGGTAGAAGGGCTTATATCACTTCTGGCAGAGTTGAGGAGAACGAGCCACCTGTCCAACAGTTTGCTTGGGCTCCAATACTCTTGTGGCCTATATAACGTATTGTATATGCAGCGAGACACAACAATAACAATACAACCAAGACTCATGTTTAAACACCCTCTTTCGCTTTACATTAGTGTTAAAAGTCTATCACTGCCAACCTCTCCCTCTCCAAGCTTGCCTTGATCTCCTCCTCTCCACCTCTGGTGATCTCAGGCCATTGAAGTGCCCGCCATCTTCCCGGACTACCTCTAACCACACCTCTCACCCACAAAGATCTATTGTGAGCTCTCACTATAAGACAAGTTGTGTTCGATTGATGAAATACTAAAATGTGTTTCTAAGAAGTTGAATAGTTTTTCCTTGGAAGACATTAGTGGAGACAACTTACACCATTAGTAACAATTATATATATAATCTCGAGTACTATTATCTTGCTTGACTAAAAAATATCTGTCAAACAGGGGCCAAAGATCATGTTCTTGACATGAAATGTGCTGATTTGGTGTGACCCGTTGGATTGGCATATTTATCTCAAGATGACTCAGGTGAGTGTAGTTTCTCATCTTCACTCGGGAGATTTTATGGTTTGCTTCATAGAAAACATGTATATATCAACAATAGTTGAATATACATACGGCCAACAATATGTTTTGACATTAATTGAGTTGCTTATTTTCTCTATTAAAGATATTTATTAATGTATTAGTAAGTTGGGTTGGGATTTATAATTTGATTGTAGTTGTCATAAATTCAATTACATAGAGCATTGTAACGAATATTACATTGCATTCACTTAATTAAGGCCATCAATTGAGAACAATTGTGATGCTTCTCATGAATAAAAAAGTGACAGCTCACAAACAGAAAATGTTGAATCTCCAAGGCCTTAATTGTTGAATTAATAAATCAAAAGTAACAACTAATTATTCACAATTTTCTGATTTTATATGGTCTAGGGTAATTACTGATTTTAATGAGAACTGAGTTTAAGAATGCTGGTACAAGAATTTGTTATTCGAGTTTTGGTTTTCAATTGGCTTGGTTGTTTGTCATTTATCTTCAGTTATTTATATATATTTTACATCATATTATTTTGGCTAAAAAAGATTTATTATATTCTCAGGGCATGCAAATATGGGGTGGTTATTGGAAGGCAACAAGGAGGGGGTAATTTGCCAAGTAGCAAAGATTGATGAAGATCTGTTGTGAGCTCTCACTACGAGACAAGTTTTGTGTTCAATTGGTGAAATAGTAAATATGTGTGCTTCCTAGGAGTTGAGTAGTTTTTCCTTTATAGACATTAGTGGAGAAAATAAGAAAGTGTAACATTGAATGGAGAACAATTTACTCCATTAGTACCAATTACTGTTTATCTTGTTCAGTTAAAACTCGTTTGTTAAACAGTGGCCAAAATCAAGTTGTTGTGAAATGAAATATGCTAATGTACTGTGTCTCATTGGATTGGCATATTTATTTGAAAGTGACTCAAATGAGTGTAGAGTCTTGGATTGGTATGACTTTAAACTAATTATTGGATTGGTAAAAATTTAAATTAAAAGTAATGTTACGTCTTTGTGTCAATTTACTTACTGATATAGGTTAAGAAAATGCACTCCCAATTGCATACCTGCTCAATATTGTACCCGGGGCTTGGATCATTCAATAGAGTTAGAACCCTTGCAAACTAGTCCAACCGTGGCCAAAGATCAAGTTCTTGACATGAAATATGTTGATTTAATGGGACTCGCGGGGTTGGCATGTTTATTTAAAGATGACTAAAAAAACTTGTGAATCTTGAGGCCTTTGATGTTGAATATTCTATTCACATCAAATTTAGGACATTGTGAATCTCAAGATGTTCAGCGTTTTAATATTCAATGTTGAATCTTAAGTTATTTTGTTCTCTCTTATAAGTACATATCATGTTAATTTTTTTTTTTTTAATTCTTAGTCTACAATTTAATAGTCACTTAAATTTTTAATTGATATGAATCGTAATTATCAAATTGACTTAATTAATTTTTATATAATACATTTCGAAGTTAATGTTAAAAAGAAGTTAGTTTGTTTGACACAATCTTAACTTTTTAAACATTTCTTATGATTTTTTAGAGTGATTAAAGTTATCTTTTAATGAAAAATAAGTTTGCCAAATGAATTCAAAATTTTCTTCAGTAAAATGATTTATAATATACAGTCCCGCTGCATACCCCCAGTGGGGGTCGCGCCCCCAGTGACGTGGCGCGCCCCCACTGGCCGAAAACTCAAAAAAAAAAAAAAAAAAACAGTTTTTTTTTTTGGGCCAATCCTCCAGTGACACCTCACTGGGGGTCGACCCCCAGTGGGGGTAGGAAGCATTTTTGTATAATATATTTCTATTTAACCAAGAAGTCAGAACCACGTGAAGCCAAAATGTGTTTCAGAAAATGTGCTTGAAGATGCTCTACAACCACTTGGAACTTGTTTGGACTTTTCCCCATTGATTTAAAAAAATGAGCCACTGGGCTGATTTTGGGCTTGGCTTCTGATGGATCAGAGAGAGAGGTAACATGATATCAGTCAGGATCAAGACCCAAAACTGTATAACTCAAGAAGTCTTTCTACACAGTAGAGAGAGCTTTGGCTGAAATCTAACAAAACAACAAAAGCAGTTCCCAAGATTTTTGTATAATCTGCAGGTATATGTTTCTACAAACACATATTTCTCATCTTTTTTTCCTATATCAAGTTATCATCTTATTTGTTATAATTAAATTGATTGAATGAATCTCACCACTTCATCTATTATCAATGCAGTAATAATACATCACATGTTTAGATCTTCACATTATTTCTTCTCAGAGTTGCTCATCAATCTGCTGGTATGTTTCTCTACAAACACATTTCACATCACTTTTTGATGTATGGCACTGGGTTCACTATCTTTTTTGTCATAATTACATTTGAACGATTTTCAATCACTTGTAATAATACACCACATAATAAACCCAATATGATAACCATGACAAAAATATTTTCATGATGGGGTCTCCATCTCTCTCACACATGTTGAATAACTTTTCCTAAATCCACAAGGCAAATCACTCAAAATTCTACTTAAGCATATATCTATATCTATATATCTTCTTCTTCTTTTTTTCTTCTTTTGTGTCCGGCAAAAGAAATAAATTTTTATTTAAAATAAAAAAAAAAACAAAACAGCTTCAATGCTAAAGGGCCTATCCCAAACAAGGTTGGCACAAACCAAAAGCAAATCTCAAGCTGCAAGACAGAATCACAAACAAACAGGTATAAGTTAACAAACTTAGATAAACCAAACACAACAAAACCAACCCAAAAAACAAAATACAAAAACAGCAGCAACACCAATTCAGAGGCACACCATCAAACCCAAATAACCAAACAAAGAAGCAAACAGAGTGAATGAAGACAATGCACAGCTGGTCCAATCTGCTTAGCCGAAGCCTTGACGCCTCAGTTTCCTGCACTTCCAGCTTTTTATCCCATCTAAATGGAAAAATAAAATTGTCAACTGAATTTTCCCAAACATTCCAAAACATCCAATTTCCCCTTCACCCATGAGCAGTACTAAATTTAACAATATCAACCACTTGGCTCCAATCTGGCTTCATGTTATTAAACACTAAAAATCACTCTGAACCTTCCAAACTGTCCACAACGCCACCATTGGAAGGATAATCCAAATATGCAAAGCTAAATTCTTGGATTTAAACAAAAAAACATGAACTTTGAAAGGAGCTGCACCACACCGCACTGCACCACACCGCACAGAAGAAACAATGTCTCTACCACAATGAACAATTTTTTTTCTTAGGCCTTAATATTTGACCAAGAACTCCTCACTACAATGAAAGTCCCAGTCAAGTTTGTCCTCATGAGTCACCACCAAAGTGAAAATCACTATAATAACTTGAGTGAAACTCCATAAACAAGAGATGAAAAGTCAAACACTTCTAAACTTATTAAGGAACAGACAATAGAGCCCTACTGTACAGCTCTTTTATGGTGCATGCCTATCCATTTGTCCAACCAGAACCTAGTCACTCTGCCCATTCCCAACTGAAATGAAACTGAAATTCCTCTTTTCAAACACTCGAAACAGAATGCTAGCTGTTAAACTTCTGAATGGAGCTTGAAACAGAAAGCTATTTATATTTATTTATTCTATCAAATAAAACATACAGCTGAGTTGGTGTAAATGTTGTCAAATTTTATATCATTTTTCAATATTGCCCTTTCTATCAAGCGTCACATCCAATCTGGTATTTATATATAAATTTTTTCATTTATCAAACTGCCGAAAGCTGTTATTAGTTTTCCTCAATCATCATACTATCCAAAAATTTAAACGTAATCCATTTGCTCGCCGCAGAATTCACTTGATGTGAACACCTGTGTGACAGTGTGCCACATTTTTTCATGTCCAAATTGCCCTATGTAACTGCCTAAGTATTTTATTTTAAATTTTGATTTTTTTCAACTTTTTCTCCTCCATATACATTCATCTAACTTCCTTTTTACATGGACACACACACACACTACTAAGGATAATTGGAACTAATCGTGATGGTGTGTTCACTTTAGTGCAGGGAGAAGTAATGGCAGAAAGAGCAGTGATCTCAGTTATTCAATATTTGGGACCATTGTTAGCCGGAGAAGTAGAGTTGTTGAAGGGTGTCCGCAAGGAAATTATTAGTATCAAAGCTGAATTGGAGCGCATACACTTTTTCTTAGAAGATGCAGAAGCAAGAGCAGAAAAGGGAGATAAAGGCATGAAAACATGGGTGAAACAAGGGAAGTTTCTTATCGGATATAAGACGTTATCGATGAACACATTCTCTTGGTCTCGCCAAAACAACCTGGACTAGTTGGTTCCTTGCGTAAGGTTACTCTAATGATCACTAAGCTAAAGCCACGACATGAGATAGCTTCTCAAATCCAAGACATCAAGACTACAATCCGTGAGATCCAGGAAGGAGCTGTTTGATATGGATTCAGTACTAGTACTTCCTCAGAACATAGCAGCACCAGCACGAGCAACATCACCAAGGACAACATGTGGCGTGACCCTTGACTAGCTTCCCTTTTCATAGGGGATGACGAAGTCGTTGGCATTGAATCTCCCAAATATGAACTGATAAGCAGATTGGTTGACCAAAATCAATCACAACGAGCAGTGATCTTGGTGGTTGGCATGGGTGGAGTTGGCAAGACCACTCTTGCCAAGAAAGTTTATGACAGCCAAGAAGTGGTTGCATGCTTCAATTGCAAAGCGTGGATCACTGTCTCTCAATCATACAAGCCAGAGGAGCTCCTCAAGACAATGATAAAGGAACTATCAGGAAACGATGTTCTACCTCTACCTGATGAGGGAATTGATTCACTCATAGCCAAGCTAAGAGGATATTTATGTGAAAAGAGGTACGTCATTGTGTTTGATGATGTATGGGCTATGAAGCACGGATACTTCAAATAGGGTAACGTATCCGTATCGTATCCGTATCGGATACCGATACTTCTTGAATACTTGCGGATACGTATCGGATACTTATTAAAAGTATCGGATACTTCTTAATTATTTTTTCATTAATTTTGGAGTATCGAATACTTAATTTTGAAGTATCGGATACTCCAAGCCATGTTTACTTGTTTTATAAAATTAGAATTGTAACATTTCTTGCATAGTAATATAATATAATATAATATAATTGCAAGTATAAATATAAGAAATTTTTTCTAATACTTTGTTAAATTCTTCGATAAAAAGAGCATAGTGAGTTAAATAATAGAATTTATCAAATTGATGTATCCTAATTATTTCATGCATGTCCCCTACAACTACATAGAAAGTAAGAATCAATAAGAGAATATAACAATGGTAAAATTAAATATCAATAAATAAATAAGCAAGTAAACTTGAATACAATATTTTTCACTAGTGTCAAAGGAAAAAGTATAGGGACAAGTTGTGAATTATTCTATTATTGTAATATAAATATATTAAACTTGATATTGAAATGAAATATTTGTAAGACCTATTAAAAATTTAAAAAGTAAACAAGCTACTAGCTTAAATTAATACAAAATTCTTAAAGGTTAGTATTTTGCATTATAAAATTAGATTGTGGTTTCTTAATGTTCTTTAGCTTATGTGTGACTTACTAATAATAATTTTAAAAAATATATTTTTCACAAGCGTATCCTAGCCATACCGGTATCCTATTTTGTTAGGTTTTGTCGTATCGCCGTATCTGTATCATGTCGTATCCATATCTGGTATCCGTATCTATGTTTCCTAGCGTATGGGAAACTGATTTTTGGAGATCCATAAGACATGCTTTACCCAAAAATAGTGAAGGCAGTCGGGTGATCATCACCACACGCAGTGAACAGGTTGCTACATTTTGCAAAGAAACTTCAATGGATCATGTCCATGAGCTTGAAGCCCTATCCCAAGAGAAGGCTTGGAAACTCTTTTGCATGAAAGCCTTCCGATTGAACTGGGGGTCATTGTCCTCCTAAGTTGGAGGAAGTATCACAAGCAATTGTTAGAAAGTGTCAAGGTTTGCCACTTGCAATTGCAGCTATAGGTGGTCTCTTGTCCACCAAAAACAAGGGTATATCCGAATGGCAAAAATTCTATGGTAGCATGAACTCTGAGTTGGAAAGGAATCCTGATCTTAAAAGCATTAGCAAAATTTTGTTGTTCAGTAATAATGATCTGCCTTACCACCTCAAATCTTGTTTCTTGTACTTTGGCATAATGCCAGAAGACTACTTTATCAAAGCTGGGAGACTAGTTCGGTTATGGATAGCTGAGGGTTTTGTTGAAGAGCAGAACGGAAAAACATTGGAAGAAGTTGCAGAAGAATACTTGACTGAGCTGATCCATAGACGCTTAGTTCAAATTTTAGCAACAAAATTTGATGGAAGAGTTCAAGAGTGTCGGGTACATGATGTAGTGCGTGAGATTATTCTCTCAATGTCCAAGGAGTTTAGTTTGTGTCAAATTTTGGAAAAAGAGAATTCAAGTTTCAATGCCACAACTCGCCGGCTATCTATGCATATCCGTTACTGCAACATGGATAAGGTCATGAAAAGCATTAGTAAATCCCCAGTTCGTTCTGTTTTCCTTTTTCAAGAGGGAGAGCTGCCAAAGAAGCCCTTATTGGGTACAATAGCTGCACATTTCAAGCTTTTGAAAGTGCTTGATCTTAAGGATGCTCCTTTGGATCAACTTGATGAAGAAGTGGGAAATCTATTGCTTTTGAGATACCTAAGCATAAGGAGCACAAAATTGAAGATAATTCCAAAGTCCATAGGCAAGTTGCAAAACTTACAGGCTTTGGATCTGAAACATTCCCGCGTGAGTGAGGTCCCATTTGATATCAGTAGGATCTGTAAGTTGTGACATCTTCTTACCTATTCTTATAACGATGAAAGTGAATTCTTAGGAGTGAAGATACAGGGAGGGATTGGGATTTTAGAGGAGCTACAAATTTTGTTTTATGTAGAGACAAATCATGATGATGGGGTCAGCTTAATTAAAGAGCTTGAGAATTAAGGCAGCTAAGGAAGTTGGGAATTAGGAAATTGGAAAGAGAACATGGGAGGGCTCTATGTGCATCCATTGAGAAGATGAAATGCCTTCAATATTTGAGTGTAACAGCCTCAAGTGATTATGAGATTATGGATTTATAGCATATATCATCATCATCATCTCCACCTCAATATCTTCAACGTCTCGAGTTGGTTGGACATTTAGAAAAGTTGCCCAAGTGGATTCGGAAACTTCAAAATCTAAGCACATTATCTCTAGTGCATTCAGATATGACCAAGATTGATCCAGTAAAAGCCCTTCAAGTCTTGCCTAGTTTGGTATGTCTTGTTCTTTGGGATGCATATGATGGGGAGCAGTTGTATTTTGAGGTTAGAGGGTTTCAAAAACTTAAGGAACTATTGTTGGAACAATCTTCTATGTACATAAAATAAATAGAAATAAAACCAAACAAATAAATAAATAACGTACCGAATTTATTTATTGAACCGAATTAGAAGAAAATTCAAAGACCAAGTCGAGTGTGTGACACTCTGTCCTTAAGACAGATTCGCCCCGCTACGGTGCTTACAGTTGAGTGGCGTCTATCTCCTAGGATACAATGATCTTCACAAAATTGTTGTAGCACACCAAACAAATTTGTACGGCGAACCAAACCTTGTGTTCTATACTCTCTTTGATTTTTCCTAAACCTAGAATGAAGAAAAATGCACACAATAAAATCTGGACAGCAAAATGAAAATTGCAGACTGATTTTCGGATTATCAAACACTGCTGGAATGATCTGTATATATAGGCAAAATACATTGCCTCGAACAGGTGCTGTTTGTCACTGAACAGGTGCACTTTTGAAATGAACAGATATCATTCAAAATTCAAACAGATTTGGAACAAAACTGTCCAGATTTGAATCTGTGTGGACAGTTAAGAAACTGTCCGGTTTTAAACAGTTAGAAAAACTGTTTGAACTGAAAAATCTGTTGTGGAATATTTAGACAAGAAAGCGTTTGTTTGGACAAAAATTTAATTTCAAATTTGAATTAAATTCTTGCAATAATTTTTTGAAAAAATTCAAATGAATTTTGTCCAAAAAATTAATATTAGAACCGACCCGAGCCACACCTACGCCCGGACGAACGGCGGCGGTGGCGCGTGTGGTGGTTTGGGCTAAGGTTCAATTTATCCATAACTTGTAACGTCCTCAAAATAATAACATTAAACCCATCAATAGAGACATGCATTGATATATAAAAGCTCCGCTTTCTTCTATTCATCAGAGTTTCATTACCAAAAGTATTACATGTTAACAACAAAGGAAATGCCCTAAAGGCTTACAGCTTTCCAAGTTAACACTTGGTTACAACAAAAGAGTGCTAACTCATTTACACATTAAGCCCTTGGCTTGAATATACATGTAATACATCAAAGAAATAAAACAACAAAAGTCCGCCTGCCTCTAGCCTCCCAAGCTACGTCCTTGGAGGTGGCATGCTACCTATACCTGAAAATGATATTCCCATATAGGGTGAGCCACAGCCCAGTAGAAATACACTAAACCAAATATGGACAATGACTAAAAGATTAGCAGTTAATAGATGGCCAACACTGATACTTTCCCTTATCACACCTTACAGTTTCATGACATACAAGTCTATGTTACAATCCATTTTTCCAATTCTTTTAAATTCTCAATTTATAACCATGGCTCAGAACCTGGCCAAACAATTCATATGAGGCAGTAACTCATATTAAACACTTTCCCATTTCATAATAGATAAGCATACTAGCTATATCACACACCAACAGATAAGCATACAAGCTATATCATTACTTCCATAGATATGCATAAGAGCACTATCACACTTCCAATGACAAGCATATGAGCTCTGTCAACACAATAATAGATAAGCAGATAAGCTCTATCTATGGAGTCCATCCCCTATCTCCTCCCAACAACATCCGGTTTAGAGGTCCATCCCCTATCTTCCCCTAAACCGTGGAGTACATCCCCTATCTCCTCCAACACAACACAATGCATATAAACAATAATTATACACATCATCACACAACACATAAATTTAATGTATTCTTTCAACCGTCATACTCAATGACACATTCCAGTGATTAGTTTCAGTCTGCCTAATCATCATGCATTGTCTACAACAATCAAGGCTATCCTCCACCAATAGCCCAAAGCAGTTATTTCTATACAGAAAATAAATGCAACAATGGATATAAAATCAACATTTCAACTAGGTGAGTGATAAATACTCCAACTACACCCTTTAATCCCATATCTTTCCAAATCAATTCCTCATCTCCAACTATTAATTATACAAATTAATCAATCAATGTAATTAGGGCATTTTCCATAATTAACATTATAACCCTTAGGTTCCATTTTCATTAATGTTTCAACATTAATTTCACTTTTCCATGCCAAACATGCATCTAGGTTTTATATAGCTAAAATCCCAACTTTTTGTAAATTTACACAAAAGCCCCAAACTTTTGCAAAATTACCAAACCAACCCCAACATCTCAAAATACTAAAATTTAAAGACAAAGCTCATAGTAAGGAGTAGGTTATCCCTACCTTGAAATTAGAGATCGGATGGAGAAGAGATCAAAACCAAAGTGCTCCAAAGACCAAGATTCTCGGATCAAAATGACGCCCGCGACGATCAACACAACTTTTACAAAGGCCGAAGAGAAGGAGGACACTCTAACTGGATCAAACCCTAGAGAGAAGGGAGTTTCTAGAGAGAGAGGCTTCCAAAATAGTTTTTAGAAAAAGTAGGAGAGAGAAAGAAAAGCAAAAAGTGATTTAAAATCACCCAGCGGATAACTCATATACGTATGACCCGCTCGAGCGGATAACACAACGCTCGAGCGCCAAGAACAAAAATCTGGACACGCTCGAGCGCAATAAGGCCCGCTCGAGCACCAAGACACAAGAATAAAGCACTTCCGCTCGAGCGCGAAAACTAGTTCGCTCGAGCGCAGATTTCCCCTTCCCAGAACTTATACTCAGAAGGTACTACCCGCTCGAGCGCCACCAGACCCGCTCGAGCGCCACCGCTCGAGCGTAAACAAACCCGCTCGAGCGTAAAAATCACATCTGCAGAAGTTTTGCAGGAACACGAAATACTGGAGGTGTGCAATCCCCGCTCGAGCGCAAGAAGACCCGCTTGAGCGGATCGCCTAAAAACTGGACAACAAGGAATTGAAACCAAGGCCTAACCAACCTGTAACAACCCTGCTCAAAACATCCTAAAACTCAATCAAGTGGAATTAAAGGACGACAACAAGATAGGTACCATTACCAACTTCACGGAACCGAGTCCGGAACACAACAGAACAGTAACACAACAGAACAGTAAAGGGACAACCGGGGTCGCTATATAACTCTTCCCTTCTACAAACTTGGGGTGCCCCTTGGGGCCCAACCCAAGTGTTGTACGCTAGAGCTTATATACTTAACAAAACTCTCTTAAAGTTTCAATGTGGGACAAGCCTCACAAGGAAACCCACATTAAAAACTTTAAATGTTCATTCCACGAACCCGAAAATGGCGTCATGTTCCCATTCACTCATAAATGGTTTTGACGAACCGTCTTCACCGTGTGACTTGCCATGCGGCAAGGAACACTTCACCTCTTCGGACCCACGCCAAGAAACGTTTGGGGCCCACTCAATTTTGGGCTCAAAGTCGGCCCAAAATAAGCCTAATAAACCAAATTTTCCAACAACTATGTCTCCAAGAGTTGAAGGGATTGAATTCGGTGATAATAGAGGAAGGAGCATTGCCTCTTCTTGAGGAGCTAACGATTGGGCCTAGCCCGCAACTAAAGGAGGTACCATCTAGCATCCGCCACCTTATAAACCTCAAATGTCTTCAGTTTGTTTGTATGCTAGAAGAATTGATAGATACAATGGAACCCAAACCCAACCAAGGAAAAGACAACTGGATCGTTGAGCATATCCCTCGTGTCGATCCCTATTCCCGAATCGGAAAACAAAGTCCTGTTAGTCATATCGGCATTCTTGAAGAATATCTCAATCGGAAGGTGGAAAACGCAAGGGTTTGGGAAGATAAAAATGAATCTCAAAGTTGAATGCCAGTTCAATTAACTTTCAGGTATGCCTCAACTGAATTGCCGTGTTTGTTTGTCTCAGAGTTAAAAAGAGTAGATTTAGAAAAGGAAAATAAAATAAAATAAAATAAAATTTTTATATGAATTTGATTTGGATGAAAATTTTACAAGAAAATATTAATTTTTATTATAAATGATTATTTTTATAACAAATTTATATTTTCTTTATTACTTTTATTACTTTTATGCTAAATAAATTTATAAAAAAATACGATTCCATTTGGTTTAGTTTTTAAAATTAGTTTTGAATTTTGAGTTGTGTTTTTGAAAGATAAGGATAGCGTTTGGTTAAGTTTTCAAATCATGATTTGGATAAAAAAAAATTCAAAACTCTTTTCAAATTTTAGGTTTTCAAATCATGTTATTTGACCCTTTTTTTTTTTTTTGGTGGTGCCTTTTCCAATTCAATTCAATTAAATTCCAGGTTTGTCCCCAACTCAATCGCAATGTTTATTTATCCTTTCATCAAAATTTGATGAAAAAAAAAAAAATCATCTTCAATACACCATTTTTATGAATAAAAAAAAATACTCCATTTTTAAAAATTTTATCAAATTTTAATTTGATGCAAAAAAAATGTTTCCCCCTTGATTTGATGGATATTTGGATAAAAATTTTATGCACCACGTTATGTATTTTTGCGATAAATATGATGTAATTTTTTTAGGAGGATTACACTAATTCG